ATACTATATGTAAGCGTAAAACTGAATTCTCCCCATTAATATCTCTAGCTTCTCAAAATCAAGAGAACATTATATACCTATATATAATATCTATTATTAATAATCACTAACTGATACAATTTTAGGATAAATCTAAAAAAGAAATACACATATTCTCACTGTGGTATAGCCATGCAATGGAGATTTGTGGCCTGTCAAGTTATGATTCAATACTGAACACCTCATTAACAATTTCTGTATAGTACGCCGCAACAGCACATCTCAGTCGTAAGTGTCAATTGAGTAGCATTGTGTGTCATCTCGCTCCAAAAACAAACACCCTATTTTTCTTCCTTTCCTAAAACCCTGGCTATGCCCTGGATGTGATACTTTCTAATCTAAGAAAATATATTACGAAAAGCTGTCCTAAAACAGGCTTTTGGAAACATCTAAGCCGAGACAAAAGTACTACAAGCCAAGGTAATTGTCAAAAAGGAGAGAAAAATGGTTCCTTAATATTAATTCCCTTAGTTAAAACATTGACAGATCCTTATTATCAAATGAAAACAAAATTAACCTTCTCCACCATATCTTTATTTGACACCGAGTTCCTGCGATCCTATAAATATATTCCTTTTATGTAGTAAACACTACAGACGTTAAGTGTTGTTCAGGTGTGAAAAACAGACAAAATAAAAACAAAACCAGTGATGGAAAGAGCAATACAATTCTCTCCAAGTATCTTATTTCTACTACTGATTACATACTCCTATTCCCTCTCCGTCCTTCTCTCTTTCCTCCCGGCCTTTTTTCCCCATTCCTATCTCCATTTTCTCTCAAATATCTCACCTTTCTGTCTGTATATCTCTCTCTCTCTTTCACCCGTTCTCTGTCGCTCGCTAGTAACTAGTTCCGTGTATTGCTTTTCTGGCAGGATTCCTCGGGGCTATTTTGGTGTCGCTTTTTTTCTGTTTACATTAGTTTTTGGGGAACAATGGATTACGGGCCTATATATTTTTTTCTTTTGATGATTGTGATTGCTTATTTATCATATATATATTTATTAGTGTGGAAGGGTTGTTTTATCATTTCGGTTTGATTTATTATTTATATATATATTTTTTTCTTTGAGGGAAGGATATTTTTCTTGTGCTCATGTCAGTATGTAAAAAAAAGAAAAAAAAAGTGAAAATTGGAGAACTTTGTTGTATTTTTCATTTGGGGAGAAACATCAACATGTTCTTATGTTTTAACACTTAAAGAAATCAATATGCGATAAAAAAAATCCACGAAATATAACAAAAGCAACTAAAGTGATAATGGATATATTTTTTAAAACTCTCTAACTCATTTCATTAGTATCATTAATTAGACATCTACAGAATAAGAAATAATCAAAATAAGTTGGGAAAACGCGAAATATTTGTATTTCTATTATTTATGTATTATGTACTTTAGTTTACGCGAGATTTTGTCGGTCTCGAGAATTTATCAAAGTGATTAGTATCATATCTTTAAAAATAGCTATATTGTTTTCGTAATAAATATAATTATAAAAAAGATAAGATTGTTAAAACTGATAATAGTAACAACAATAACATTCAGACCATGAAAGGGATGGGAAAAAACGCGGACAGTCATCAGTAAGCAGTAATATATATCTGGCAGCAAGGAAATCAGTATCGAGCATACTTTTTCATAAATGTTAAACCCTGACTAAAGGTACAATATCAAGCAATTTTCTGCTCTGCGAAAATGAGGTTAGTCATATGGCTGGACAAAGATTGTAACAAAAGGGCGTGAAAGTAAAAGCCATATTTATAGACAAATTTTTCAAAAAAATGTCCATCTTCATATGGCAATTGCATACTCTACTCTCGTCTCTTTACTCGAATAATCTACTCACTTTCTATCTACCCTGATTTACCCTTATCTACTCTCAAATCTACCCCGATGTTAATAACACATTTTTTATCAACAGGGATATTTAATTTTTTGGCGGGTATAAAGCAAGATTCAAATTACATTGTACTTTATTTCACCAAAAATCAATATCTTCTACATATTGGAATCTTTACATAGCTACTGGCATCAGTTACATTAATGATAACAGAATCTGAAAAAAAGGACAACTTGCTAAAAAAAACAGACGTCACTAATACTTTAAAAAGAACACGCCACATTTCGTTATAAATAACGGAACAATATTCAATAGGCAATGTATATATATATATAGAGTATAACGAACATATTACGGGGGGAAAATATATCGGGTTGTGTAAGAAACAAGTGAGATAAAAGTAATAAACTGTAAATATTCACGTACTCTGCAACAGTCATTTGGCAACTAACTTCAAATAGCATTGGACTGAATCACATAGCATTGCTTGAGGGTCTTGGCCTACATTATTACATGTACAACAAACTCTTCCGTTAAAAAAAACAACAACAACAACAACAACAACAACAACAAAAAACACGAAAAACATACCTATAAGAAGGGTGAAAGGAATTAACTGCA